TGTTTTTTGGTTTTTTGAGACAGGGTTTCTCTTGTGTAGCTTTGCGCCTTTCCTGGAACTCACTTGATAGCCCAGGCTGTCCTCGAACTCACAGAGATCCGCCTGCCTCTGCCTCCCGAGTGCTGGGATTAAAGGCGTGCGCCACCACCGCCCGGCCTGAAGGCCATTATCTTCTAAGCCTGGGAATTGGTGTTAGTTGTAGACCTATTTTGGGTAATGTGATCAGAGGTTGGTGTCTGGAGGGAGAGCTGCAAAGGAGATTTTATGGGAAGACTAGCTTCATTCAGCTTTTGTCTAGTATGACTGTTTTCTGTGAAAGTCAGTAGAACATAAGATTGCCGGTTTTGCTTGATCAACTCCAGGCCTTTAGTAGAGCCCACCGAATTGGGCAGAATAAGAAGGTGATGATCTACCGGTTTGTGACCCGTGCGTCCGTGGAGGAGCGCATCACCCAGGTGGCCAAGAAGAAGATGATGTTGACGCACTTGGTGGTGCGGCCTGGGCTGGGCTCCAAGACCGGCTCCATGTCCAAACAGGAGCTCGATGACATCCTCAAATTCGGCACTGAGGAGCTCTTCAAGGATGAAGCCACAGACGGGGGTGAGCTAATCAGAAGCCTAGAGTTGGGGTGGAACCTGCTCCTCAGAGGGTTCCATGGAAAAACTGCTTTTTCCTCCCTTTTTCCCCCCTTCGTTGTTGTTGGAGACAGGGTTTCTCTGTTAACAGCCCTGGCTGTCCTGACTACTCACTTTGTAGACCAAGCTGGCCTTGAACTCAAATCTTCCTGCCTCTGCCTCCCAAATGCTGAGATTAAAGGCATGTGCACCACCACCACCACCACCACCACCACCACCACCACCACCACCACCACCACCACCACCACCACCACACCCCCCCAGCTGGGAACTGCTTTTTCTACTGCAGCTGAACTGACTGGGGGTTGTGGGTTCCTGGTTCTTGGCAGGCGGAGACAACAAAGAGGGAGAAGACAGCAGTGTCATCCATTATGATGACAAGGCCATTGAACGACTGCTGGATCGCAACCAGGATGAGACCGAAGACACAGAGTTGCAGGGCATGAATGAGTACTTGAGCTCATTCAAAGTGGCCCAGTATGTGGTACGGGAAGAAGAAATGGGGGTGAGTATGAGTCCAAGGCAATGCTGTTCTTGGTGATTGGTCTGAAAATTGGAATTGAGATCATGATGATATTTGAAACAACAGGAAAACATCTTTTTGCCTTGCAAAGAAAGAATGTAACATGCTCAGTTTCCATTCTCATCTTTGCCTTGACTGTCAGGAGCTGCACAGCCAGGTTTCACATAACCAGCATAAACTCTCCTAGAGTCTTATATTATGTATCCTATTAATTCTTCATATACATTTTTGAATGCTACCTTAGAAAAAGCAGATGGAAAGCCGGGCAGTGGCGGCGCATGCCTTTAATCCCAGCACTTGGGAGGCAGAGGCAGGTGGATCTTTGTGAGTTTGAGGCTAGCCTGGTCTGCAGAGCGAGATCCAGGAAAGGCGCAAAGCTACACAGAGAAACCCTGTCTCGGAAAAAAACAAAAAAACAAAAAAAAAGAAAAGAAAAAAGAAAAAGCAGATGGATACATACTTTAATAACTAGCTGTTTTTTTTCAAAGGTGAGAATTCTTCCCTTTTTGCTTTTCCACCTTTGATCTTTTACACTAAGAAGCAAAAACTACCAAAAGAGAATGTATGAGGTTTTTATAATATATTTCTTCCCTTAAGTAATTTAAAAACATTGCTTTCTTTGCTGGTTCCCTTTAAACCACTTGACGAAGGGTTGGGTTGGCATGGATTTTTGATGTCTTCACCATGCTTTCTCATCAGAGTGATGTTGCTCTTGCTGTCTTCTGATAGTATAGCCTTTTCCCCCTTCTTTTTTTAAATGAAGTCTTGTTAATCAGCATAGTTCTCAAACTTTTGATCCTCCTGCACCAACATCCCAGTTGCTATGATTACAGGCCTGGGTGTTATTTTAGCTGAAGCCTAGACTGGCTTTCAACTCTATGTAGCTTAAGCTGATTTTGAATTCCTGATCTCCTGCATCTGCCTCTCAGGTACTGGCATTACAGGCATGTGCCACCTACCATTCCTGGCCACCATATCATGTCTGACTGTCTGGCAGAATTTTTATTACTACTTGTTTTTTTTTATTTCTGAGACAGGGTCTCAGGTATCCCAGACTGGCCTTGCTCTTACTGTGTATCTGAGAATAACCTGACTCCATCTTCCAAGTGTTGAGCTGACACCATGGGTCACCAGGCCTGGTTTACATGGTAATGGAGGCTGAACCCAAAGCTCCTTGCGTGCTGGGCTAGCATTCTGTCCAGCTGACTCATATCCTTACCCTTGTCTAGCAGATCTTGATTAGCGGGATTATTGTGGTTTTTTAGTGATTTGCATAGGGCTATAAGATCAGTTCTGACTGATAGGTTAATTTTTTTTTTGCTGGTTTTTTTTATTTTTATTTTTTTTCTCCCCTGTTTTTTTGCGATAGGGTTTCTCTGTGTAACAGCCCTGGCCATCCTGTGTTGCATGAATCCTAGAACTCCCTTTGTAGCCCAGGCTGGCCTCAAATTCACAGAGATTTGCCTGCCTCTGCCTCCCAAGTGCTGGGATTAAAGTATGCACCACCACCACCTAGTTTAGGTTAGGTTTTTGAAGGGTCCTAAATCAAACACTAACGGGGATTTTTCTTTCCTCCTTATTTATTATTATTATTTTTTAATTCATTTTTTCTGGGCGGTGGTGGACTGCCCTTTAATCCCAGCACTGGGGAGGCAGAGTCAGGTGGATCTCTGTGAGTTTGAGGCCAGTCTGTTCTACAGAGCAAGATCCAGGGCAGGCACCAAAACTACACAGAGAAACCCTGTCTCAAAAAACAAACAAAAAAAAAAAACAAAAAAAATTTTTTTGAGACAGGGTTTCTGTGTGTATCCCTCGTTGTCCTGGAACTCACTCTGTAGCCCAGGCTGGCTTTGAACTCACAGACATCCGCCTGCCTCTGCCTCCCGAGTGCTGGGATTAAAGGCGTGCGCCAACACCGCCCAGTTTACTATTGCAATTTTTTGGAGACAGGCTCTCCCTATGGATCCCAGCCTGGTCTTGAACTCATGGTCTTCCTACCTTAGCCTCCCAAGTGTAAGATTATACATCTGAACCACAATGTCTGTCTGCTTCTGGGTTTTAAGACAGGGTCCCATATATCTCAGGCTGTTCTGGGAGTCACTGTGTAGTCGAGGATGACCTTGAGTTTCTGATCCTCCTGCCTCTACCTTCAGAGTGCTGGGATGACAGACCTGTGCCACATGTGTAACTGCCACAGCCGATATGTGGTGCTGGGGATTGAACCGAGGTTTGTGCACACGGAGAAGTACACTGCGATTTTTTTACCAGCCTGTTCTTAGGAGATGTTGCTTCAAGTCAGGTTTATGTGTAACTGGTGGGGAAACTTTATATAGATCAGCAGTAAATTCAATCAAAAACTGCTTTTTTTGTAGGAGATCGTATTCCTTACAGTAGCAGAGAGTATTCTGTAGAAGCAATTGCCTGTCACAGCACATGTTAGGGCTGATCTACGATAGTGCCTATGCAAGTATATGTGGTCTTCTCTGATTAGTGCCTGTTATTTCTTTTTTTTTTTTAAAGATTTATTTTTTTATTATGTATGCAGTGTTCTGCCTGCATGTTTGCCTGCAGGCCAGAAGAAGGCACCAGATCTCATTACAGATGGTTGTGAGCCACCATGTGGTTGCTGGGAATTGAACTCAGGACCTCTGGAAGAACAGACAGTGCTCTTAACCTCTGAGCCATCTTTCCAGCCCCATGCCTGTTATTTCTTTTTACTTTCTTTTTCTTTTTCTTTTTTTTTTTTTTAGACAGGGTCTCACTATGTAGCTCTGGCCTGGAACTCACAGATATCTGCCTGCCTGTGCAGGCAGTGATGGGTTAAAGGCATCTACCACCACACCTGGGTATTTATTTCTTTTTAGACCTTTTAATCAGAAGGTGGAGTTGCTGGGGATGGAACCCAGGGCTAAGCAGTTAATCTGCTACTGAGTTACATTCATTCATACTGAAAGAATTTTTTTTAGTTTTAAAATTTTTATTATGTATATTCATTGTGCAAAGTCCTGTGTACTTTAAAAATATCTTTGGGGACAGGATCTTTTTATTTTTGTTGAGACAGGGTAGGCTGTCCTAGAACTCACTCTGTAGACCAGGCTGACCTCAAATTCATAAAGATCTGCCTACCTCTGCCTCCTGAGTGCTGGGATTAAAGGTGTGCACCACCACTGCCTGCCTGGGACAGGGTCTTATGTATCCCAAGATAGAATTTAGGCAGCTAAGGATGACACTGATCTTCTGACCCTTTTCCCTCTGCCGCCCAGGTGCTGGGATTACAGGCATCTGTCATCATATCTGGTGTATGTGGTGCTGAGAATTGAATCTAAGAATTGGTGCATGCTATGGAAGCACTTTACCAACCAAGCCATATCCCCAGCCCCTCTATAAATTGCCTCTATGTTGGCCTTGAACTTTTAGTTCTCTTGTCTCAGCTTTCGTATTGGCTAAGAAAAAAGAGCTAAGGCTTATAACTTTATGCACAAAACTTTAACAGCCAGGTCACACTATAACCTGCTCTTGCCTGGAGATGAGTTCCAGGCTGACCTCAGGCTCTATTCTTCTCCCTCAGCTTCCTGAGTGTTGAGTTTATAGGTGTGTGATGATCAATTTAGAAAAAGCTGAGCCCACCATGGTGGTGCTTGCTGTTAATCCTAGCATTCAAGAGGCAAGGCAAACAGGTCAAGGCCATCCTGGTCTACATAGTGAGTTCCAGGCCTCTTGGGTCTACGAAGTGAGACCTTATCTCAAAAAACCAGATTGGGAGGGAAAATGATAAGAAAGCTTGTTTTGTCTTACATATTTTAGGAGCTTTGGTGTCGTTAGTTAGGTCCTGTGCTTATGGACAACAGGACTGCTAACAGGGCTATGTACTGAGGGAACTGCTCAGAGGGCAGTGAAGGAGCAGAGAGAACAGACTGCTGTCTAGTATCTCGTTCAGTACCTGTTTCCAGTGATCTGACTTCTTCCCAGGTCTGTGCCATCGAGGCTCCACCACTCTCCATTCGCATACAAGCCATACAGCAACATGGTTCAAAATCCAAAAGAAAAAAAATCTCTCCTCCACCCTGTCCTGCCTAGTTCTCTTCTGGGAACAGTTGTTTTCACTTTGACTCGAGAGCACAGTGCGTGTGCGTGTGCGTGTGCATGTGCGTGCGTGCGTGCGTGCGTGCGTGTGTGTGATACATACATATGCATACATAATATGTACATATGGGTATGTGTGTAACTGTCTTACCCAGAGTGACCGTGAACTTAACAGTAATCCTCCATCTGTGATCCTCCATCTTTCTGAGTGCTTAGATTACAGGTGTGCACCACCATGCTTGGGGAGGGGTGTCTGTCTTTCTGCTGGGGAGTTATATAACAAATAGTGATTTGAGGAAGTGATTTAGCACTTAAGAGCGCTGGCTGGCTGTTCTTCAGAGTTTGATTCCTTATACATACATCAGCTTACAAACATCTGTAGCTCCAGTTCCAGAGGTTCTGATGCTAACTTCTAGTCTCCTTGGGTTCCAGGCTCACACAGACTTACATGCAGGTTAAAACATATACATAAAATTAAAAATACTACTAACCAAAAAAAAAAAAAAATATGCCGGGCGGTGGTGGCGCACGCCTTTAATCCCAGCACTCGGGAGGCAGAGGCAGGCGGATCTCTGTGAGTTTGAGGACAGCCTGGGCTACCAAGTGAGTCCCAGGAAAGGCGCAAAGCTACACAGAGAAACCCTGTCTCGAAAAAACAAAAAAATAAAAAAATACTAAAATGGGGGCCTGGAGACATGGCTCAGCGGTTAAGAGCACTGACTGCTCTTCCAGCCGACCCGGGTTCAATTCCCAGCACCTACATGGCAGCTCACAGCTATTTACATCTCCAGTTCCAGGGGACCCGACACCCATGGCAGAACACCAATGCATGGGGAAAAAAAAAAAAAAAAACTAAAATGAAAATTTCTTTTTGTCAACTTTTTTTTTTTTCTTTTGGTTTTTTGAGACAGGGTTTCTCCATGTAGTTTTGGTGCCTGTCCTGGATCTCTCTCTGTAGACCAGGCTGGTCTCAAACTCAACAGAGATGCGACTGTCTCTGTCTCCCAAGTGCTGGGATTAAAGGCATGTGCCACCACCACCTGGCTAAAATAAAATTTTTTAAAGGCGGTTATAACTTTTGGGTGTTTGAGTTTCATAGTCTAGATTTTGTTTTCTTTCATTAGAGATGACCAGCCTATTCTGTAATTTAGTTGTGTAGTCGTTTAGTTTGTTTCTTTTGACATTTATTTGAGTGTGTGCGCGCGCATGCTCCGTGTGCCTGTGTGTAGGACAGAAGACAGGTTGCAGGAAGTTGGTTCTCTCTGATGTGGGTCCCGGGGCCAGCTCTGACATTTAGGTTATTTGTACTTAGGCTATGAAGAACTTGGGTTTTGCTTCTTCTCCTTTTTTTGGAGACATAGTCTCACATATTCCGAGCTGGCCTTGACTTCACTGTAGTTAAAGTTGTTCTTAAACTTCTGATTCTTTTGGCTGTACTTCTCAAGGGCTGATATTATAGGCAAATGCTGCCGTGCATGGTTGATGCATTCCGGGGGTCAAACCCACAGCCTTGTGTATGCTCAGCAAGCACTCAGCCCAGTATTTGTATGTAATCAGTATTTCTGAAGTGTCCAAGGGGGAAAGAATCTGTACTTGGGTATTAAGACTTGGAGATCCAAACTGGGCAGTGGTGGCACAAGCCTTAATCAGCACTCAGGAGACAGAGATAGATAGATGACTTTCATGAGTTCAAGGCCAGCCCGGGACTACACAGAGAAACCCTGCTCAAAAAAACAAAATAAAAACTCAAAAACCTGGAGAGCTATTGAAAATATTTGAGTGTGTTTCTGTATGTATGCATGTGGGGAAGGTGTGTGTGTGTGTGTGTGTGTGTGTGTGTGTGTGTGTGTGTGTGTGTGTGTGTTTTCTCAAGCAGTTGATAATTTTTTCTGAGGTTAATTAAGATCAGAATGTTTTCTGGCCTGCTGCTGTCTTGAAGATCTCTTGCAGTGTTTGGGAAGCCCTCCATCCTTCCAGCTAAAGGGGCTAAGCTTCCTCTTTGTTCTCCTGCTTCTGGGTGTTGCCAGTAGGAAGGGACAGAAGCTGCACAGTGTCTCATTCTGTCCTGTCATAATACTTTTCCTTCTCACATTTTTCTTCAATCAGGCTGACTGCTAATCTACACATAACCTTTTGAGGAGCCATGTCCTGTCTCTTAAATTTCTTCCAAGTTTTTAGGTTCAAGCAGGCACACCAAGTGTTTACAATCCAGCCGTGCAAAGGAGCTAGAAGAATGGGAACTGTGAGGACCAGGGGTAGCTGGTGGTGCTGACTTCAGCACCCCTGAGTCCTGGCCCTCCCTCTGTCCCAGGAGGAAGAGGAGGTAGAACGGGAAATCATAAAACAGGAAGAAAGTGTGGATCCTGACTACTGGGAGAAATTGCTGCGGCACCATTATGAGCAGCAGCAAGAAGATCTAGCCCGAAATCTGGGCAAAGGAAAAAGAATCCGTAAACAGGTCAACTACAATGATGGCTCCCAGGAGGACCGAGGTGTGTGTGGCCGGCCCCGCCCCCCACCCACGGGCCGTTCCACTAGAGCAGTGGGCCCCGCTCATCTGCCCTCTCTCCCTCCAGATTGGCAGGACGACCAGTCCGACAACCAGTCCGATTACTCAGTGGCCTCAGAGGAAGGTGATGAAGACTTCGATGAAAGATCAGAAGGTGAGTGTGCTGCCATCTTGCCGCTTCTGTGGCTGCTCAGTTGTTGACTGTCTATCAGTGTCACTCACTCGCTGTCTCTTCTTCTTTCAGCTCCCCGCAGGCCCAGTCGCAAGGGCCTGCGGAATGATAAAGATAAGCCATTACCTCCTCTGTTGGCCCGAGTTGGTGGAAATATTGAAGTAAGTACCGTATGGTCCTATAGTGGGTGAAGGGGTGAGAGAAAGCCACACAGTGGGTCTTCGGTGGGAGGAGACCTGCTTCCTCTTACGGTGGTGCTTCTTTGTCCTTAGGTACTTGGTTTTAATGCTCGTCAGAGAAAAGCATTTCTTAATGCAATTATGCGATATGGCATGCCACCTCAGGATGCTTTTACCACTCAGTGGCTTGTGAGAGATCTTCGAGGCAAGTCAGAGAAAGAATTTAAGTAAGTTGAGAGCAGGCATACCAGTTGGAGCCAGGGCCTGGCCCATGTTGTTCAAGGAAAGGGGTGTTGCTAGCTGTAGTTGGCAGGTGAAGCTGTTGTTCTGAGCGTTGTGTTCCTGGCTTCCCTGAAGAGTTAGAGTGTGGAAGGTCTGGAGACCAGCACTCCAGGGCACTGTAGACCTTACCTTGTGATGGAGCCATGTTATGGCCAGCAACAGTGTGACAGGGCTCTCTGTTGAACTGTGTCCTCTCCCTTCCCACAGGGCTTACGTGTCACTCTTCATGCGGCATTTATGTGAGCCTGGGGCAGACGGGGCGGAAACTTTTGCTGATGGTGTCCCCCGTGAAGGCCTGTCTCGGCAGCACGTTCTTACAAGGATTGGTGTCATGTCCTTGATTCGGAAAAAGGTGAGCCCCAAGCCTGTTTCCATTTTTAAAGATTTCTAGAGAAATTGGGGGCCGATAGGACAGTAACTCACATCTGGAAAGGAGTCTTGACCTTGCTATCCTTTGCTATAGGTTCAGGAGTTTGAGCATGTGAACGGGCGCTGGAGCATGCCCGAACTGGCTGAAGTAGAGGAAAGCAAGAAACTGTCTCAGCCAGGCTCACCCTCTCCAAAGACTCCTACACCTTCCACCCCAGGGGACACACAGCCCAATACTCCTGCACCTGTGCCACCTGCTGGTGAGTACCTGCCATGTCATGTCTGTCCTTTTAAAAATGTGTCCTGTGCCTTTTTCTGCTCCCCTGTGCTCAGTCTTACAGGGTGGTCTGGCAGGACACACATCAATTCCCTCTCCGTTTAGGAGGGCTGTCCTAAGAATAGGGCTGGCTCTTAAAGGCACGAGAGGACAATTTAGGAAGAGACAAACAGCATGACCTCTGATCTAGGGCCTTCCTAATTGCTTGTCTTCCATTGGTCTGCAGAGGATGGGATAAAAATAGAGGAGAATAGCCTTAAAGAAGAAGAGAGCACAGAAGGAGAAAAGGAGGTGAAGCCTACGTCTACAGCCCCTGAGGTGACTGCGGAGGTAAGAGACGGACTGGCTGCTGTGCTGACGTCAGATGTCTCTTGAGATTCAGGCCCATTGGCCTCACCTGTGTCTTGTGTTCCTTTGCAGGGTGCACAGCCCCCTGCTCCTGCCCCTGCCCCTGCCCCTGAGGATGAAAAGGCTCCTGCTGAACCTCCTGAGGGAGAGGAGAAAGGGGAGAAGGCAGAGGTGAAGGAGAGGACAGAGGAGCCGATGGAGGTGGAGCCCAAAGGTACACACGATTTCCTATGGGCACTCCAGGTTGTGTGTAGACTTTCGATAGGCTTCTGGAGTACCAGGAGGAAGTGAGAACCTGGGACCCTTGTTTCTAAATTATCCCAGCCTCTGACGTCTGTAAACTCTCTTCATAGCAGTGTGGACGTGTAACACTGTTGCAGTTGTGTGTGTGTGGGGGGGGGGCGGAGTGCAGCTGTCTTTCTTTAGGGATTCTCAGTGCCTTCTTCTCTCTAGGCTCTGCTGAGACAGACAAGGTGGAGGAGAAGTCTGCAATAGACCTGACCCCTATCGTGGTGGAAGACAAAGGTCAGTGTGGACAGAAGCTGATTGTTTGGACTAAAACCAGAAGCAAGCTCACAACCCACCCCCACTTCATTACCTGTTACTATAGACAGCTTATTCCAAGATAAATGACTGACTGTCCAAATGTAGTTGTTAGAGAGCTGGCCGGTGACCCCTTTTCCTGGGTCTAGGACACCTGAGTGTGGAGGTGGAGGTAGAGGTAGACAGGTGTCGCATGCAGTGCTATGGGCAAGGGCTAGAGTCGTGGGTTTCAGGCTGGACCTGATGTTTTTCTTTGTCACATCCTGCAGAAGAGAAGAAAGAGGAAGAAGAGAAAAAGGAGGTAATGCTTCAGAATGGAGAAACGCCCAAGGATCTTAGTGATGAGAAGCAGAAGAAAAACGTCAAACAGCGCTTCATGTTCAACATTGCAGACGGGGGTTTCACTGGTATGGGAATGGGGACCTGAGGTGAAGCCTGTGTGTAGTGGGACGTGCTATGATTGATTGTTGCCCTCCGGGTTCTATGTTAGGGAGCTAGAACTGGACCATACCGAGATGGATGGGGGACAGGGGACAAAAATAACTTTTTTTTTTTTTTTGCTTTTGTCGTTGGGTTTTTGGGTCAGGGTCCCGCTATGTAGCCCTGGCTAGCCTGGGGCTCAGTCTGTAGAACATGGTGTGCTCCTGGCCTGCACACCTAAGTGGTTTTTAAAATTCTCACAGGTGTTTGCCTTTTTTCCACTCACCAACCTTCCTCTCAATTCCTTCTCAGAATTGCACTCCCTTTGGCAGAACGAGGAGCGGGCCGCCACAGTCACCAAGAAGACGTACGAGATCTGGCACCGCCGGCATGACTACTGGCTGCTGGCTGGCATTATAAAGTATCCTTGTCGGAGTCAAGACCGGGTCTAGGTGCAGGCTTTAGCCTGAGGCTCTTGTTTCCTTTGATTTTCCTGAGCACTTCCCCAATAGCCATGGCTATGCCCGATGGCAGGATATCCAGAATGACCCACGGTATGCCATCCTCAATGAGCCTTTCAAGGGGGAAATGAATCGTGGCAATTTTCTAGAGATCAAGAATAAATTTCTAGCTCGAAGATTTAAGGTGAGCAGAATGGGGCAAATGTGACCTGAAGGTCTCTGCTGAAGGCTCTGTAAAGGAGGCTCTATTCATCGAGCCACGCTTGTACAACCCCACCCCCATACTTGTTTTTTATTTTACGTGTATGCATGTTTTGTCTGCACATGCTTGTGCACTGTGTCTGTGCCCGGTGCCTACAGAGGTCAGAAGAGGGCATCAGATCTCCTGGGATTGGAGTTACAGGAGGTTGTGAGCCACGCTCTGTATGCTGGTGACTGAATCAGGGTTTTCTGCAGGAGCAGCGAGTGCTTGTAACCCAGCCGTCTGCCCGGCCCTATACTTTGCCTTTTTGTATTCGTGACTTTGCTGCCAAAGTCTGGAATGCAGGGATCAAGATAGATAGACTTGGAGACTGAATGAGGCAGGCTGATCTCTATAAGTTTGATGTCAGCCTAGTCTACATAGCGAGCTTTATTCGAGCCAACCAAGGTTTCATGGGCCCTGCCTCAAACAAAAAACAAGAGAGATACACCGAGTTGAAATTTATTGAGCTGTATAAGAGTTGTAGCTGTACCTACTGAGTGACCCAGACTAGTTCAGGGGGTTTGATGGGGACTCTGTAGGTTGGGGTGTTTGGGAGTTAGGGAGGGATTGAATTGGATCCCTGAGGAGGTAGGGCTGTTAGTGGGCTAGGGGCCCTTTTTTCTGGGTCATAATATCTGCTGGATAAGGAATGGGAAGGCTGGGTGCAGAGAAGATACACAGTGAATTCTGTTTTCAATATTTCACTGAGACAACCTCATTCAAAGTATTCAGCAGCTATTTATTGAGTATATATCTTCTTTTTGGTTTTTCGAGACAGGGTTTTTCTGTGTAGCTTTGGAGCCTGTCCTGGAACTCACTCTGTAGCCCAGGCTGGATCCATCTGCCTCTGCCTCCCGAGTGCTGGGATTAAAGACGTGCACCATCACCGCCCGGCTGAGTATATCTTATCTGTAGCTACCAAATAGGATACCATGGAAATAAGTCTCCTAAGCTGAGTGTGTTTCGGGGAAGAGAAAATATATACTAATAAATGTTTACCTTTAGGTGTTATATACTAAGCAGTGAGTTGCACGGGGACATAAGGACAGATAATCAAGGTGTTTGTTTCCCAGCCTTTAGTTTCATATAGATGCCATTGTGTGTGTTAGGGGAGGAGGCTACTGAATGCCCCAAGGAAGTTCTACAGGTCAGCTGGCGAGGGAGCTCATGAATGACTTTAAAAGTCTTGATGGGTGCAATAGAGATGATTATTGGTTGGGAACAGAGGGACCTTTAGGAAAAGGTTGTGTTGAGTAGTGGTGGGAAGTAGGTTGGGAAGAGGTTAAGAGCTAGAGCCCAGTAGGCCAGCACCAGAAGGCCAGTAGGTCTTGGTAAAGAAACAGGACTGTGGATTTTATTCCTCTAGTTCATAGGCAATCTTTGAAGGTTTTTGGATAGGACCAGGGGAAATGAAAACATTGACAAGATTGTAATTATCGTATAGTTGTGAGATATTAAGAGCCTGACCTGTGGCTGGTTCTGTTCATGTTAACGGTTAAAGATGCAAAAACCCCATCAAAGGATTTCTGGGTTTTGTGATTTACTCTGGGGTTAGCAAAACTTTCCTGTTAAAGGGCCAGAGAGAGCGAGGCAGTGGTGGCGCAGCCTTAGTCCCAGCACTCTGGAGGCAGAGGCAGGCGGATCTCCGAGTTCAAGGCCAGCCTGGTCTACAGAGTTCCAGGAAAAAAAACAAGCAAAATGGTGGGGGGGAAGGGCAGAGAGAAAGTGATTATGCTTAGTGGGTCTTATGGCCTCTGTTGCAGATCCACAGCACTGTCGTTGAAAGCAGTGGACACATAAATAAGGGACACATAAATTAGTTTCAATTAGTGGATGCTCAAATGGGAATTTCCTGTAATTTTCAAAGGTAGCATGTATTTTTTCTTACTTTCTGCACAGCCATTTATCTATAACAAAACTTCAGTCTTTACTCTTGGGCTATACCAAAACTTGCCACGAGCAAGATCTGGTCCCTGGACCTGAGTTCACCAACTCTTGAGTGCTGAGTTTGTTGTACATAGTAAGAAGACCCAAGAGTGACTGACTGAGTCAGTGAGAAAGGTGCTCCTGTGAGAGCAGTCAAGCTCGTTTAGACTGAGGAGAGTTGCTTGGCATTTCTCACATGTTAACACCCTTCAACTGCCTTACCACTGTCCCCGTGGGCTCCAGACCCTCAGTGTTCGTGAGGCACATTGAAGGCATCAGTTACCTGCATAGCGATGCTGTCTGTCACTGCAGACGTCGCTCGGGACGGTTTAAAAAACGGCAGTAGCTAGGTGTGGTGACCGGTGCCTGCCACCATCACTTGGGACGGTAAGTACAGGGCAGACTAAGACAACTTAAGACCTCAGCAACGCGTGCCTGTCATCTCAGCATGGATGGCGGAGGCAGGAGGATCCGAGTTCAATGTTATCCTTACCTAAATAGTTTGAGGCTAGTCTGGGCCACAGTTGGATCTGTCTTAAACAACCCTTTCTAAAAGCCCAGGCTAAATCTTTGGAATGCTTATAACCTGGGGCAGGGTAAGTGAGCTGGTGAGGGAAACACGTAATAGACTGGAAGTACATGCCTGTTTGGGCATAAATTGGTACATCTTGACTTACACAAGTCATGAAAACAGGCCCGTTCTCCTAACATCCTTTGTCCCTGGTAAGAATCAATGGAAACAGCATTGGGGACAGTTGGGAGCTCATGCTTGTAATTCTAGTTAAGAGACTATAGCAGCCAGGCAGTGGTGCACGCCTTTAATCCCAGCACTCGGGAAGCAGAGGCAGGAGGATCTTTGTCAGTTCCAAGCCAGCCTGGTCTCCAAAGCGAGTTCCAGGACAGGCACCAAGCTGCACAGAGAAATGCTGTCTCAAAAAACAAAAACAAAAAAGGCTATAGCAGGAGGAACCCTGCCTTTAAAACAAAATGAAACAACAGCCCAACAGTGCATAAGGCTGGGTATGTATGTGGCTTAGTTACACAGGACTTGCCTGGGCCATGAGTTTGATCTTCAGTCCTGGGGGCAAGAACCTTCAAACAATGGATACTTTTTATAATTTAAGAACTAAGCCTTTAATCCCAGCACTCGGGAGACAGAGCCAGGTGGATCTCTGTGAGTTCAAGGACAGCCTGGGCTACCAAGTAAGTTCCAGGAAAAGGCGCAAAGCTACACAGAGAAACCCTGTCTGGAAAAACCAAAAAAAATAAATAAAATAAAAAAAAAAAAAATTAAGAAATAACATTCTCAGGCAGAGGCAGCTAGAATTCTACGAGTTTGAGGCCAGCATGGTCTACACAGTGAATTTCAAGCCAGCCAGCTTTAAGGTTGTCAACTGTTAACATCATGAGTTCATGGCCAGCTTGAGTTTATGAGACTTTGCTATTTATTTATTTATTTATTTATTTATTTATTTATTTATTTATTTATTTATTTATTTAAGAAATCCAGATAACCTGATTGATACAGTTCCTATCTACATAGGACAGATTACTGTGCCACAAAACAAAACTATTTCTGTTTTTTGCCTTTAATCCCAGTACTTGGGAGAGTGGATTGTGGGCAATTTGAGGCTAGCCTGATCTACAAGTGAATTCGGGGCTATCCAGAGCTCCAGAATGAGACCCTGCCTCAAAAAACAAAGCTAGTTTGGATAGGTGTGGTGGTGGTGGTGGTGGTGGTGATCGTCATGGTCGTCGTCGTCGTCGTCCTTGTGGTCCTTGCCTGCAGTCCCATCTGCTCCTGGGTATTTGAGAGGCAATTCCAGATTTACTTACTTGTAATCTATGTGTGTGCCTGTAAGTGTCACACACAAGTGTGCTTGGGTGTCCAGGGCGGCTAACACAGGCATTTTGGTGCTCTCTCAGACTGCCCTCTTACTCCTTTGAGGCAGGGTCTCCATCTGAACTTGGAGCCAGCAAGTTCCTTTGGTCCTCCCTGTCTTCCCTCTGCCCCACTTTCTGAGAGCTGGGGCTGTATGCTTCCCATAGGGCCCAGGTCTGAACTCCAGTCCTTGTGATTGTCTAGCAAGTGTTCCTCAGTACTGTGCCATCTCCTCAGCTCCAGAGTTGCGATTTCAGGACCAATCTGGACAACACAGCAATATTCTGTTTCTTGTCCCTCAAAACCAGACATGGAGCATATTCCTATAACCCTAACACTCAGGGAGGTAGAGGTAGGATCAGGAGTTCAAAAGCATCCTAGGTTATATAGTGAGTTTAAGGCTAGCCTGGTCTGCCTGAAACCCTGTCAAAGTACAAACATTTTGGTTTTTTGAGATATGGTTCCTCTTTGTAATCCTGACTGTCTTGGAACTAGCTCTTCAGACCAGGCTAACTCACAGAGATCCATATGGGATAGGGGAGGGGGCATTTCAGGATGGTCTCCTCTTGTAGCTCTGGCTTGTCCTGAAACTTCTCTGTAGACCAGTTTGGCCCCAAACTCACAGAACTCACCTGCCTCTGCCCCAGAAAGTGTTGGGATTAAAAGCATGCGCCAACATTGTCAAAGAACAACAAAAAAATTCAAAATGAAACTTGTCACCCCAATAGTTTTGAAGAGCAAAGGGAGTACCTGGCATATAACTTAGTTGTACATGGTCTTGAATATAATGTGCCTCAGTTATGTAAATGATGTATACACAGAAAAATTTTGGAAGAAATTATCAAAATGTTAACATTATCTCTAGCAGGGGAAATTACCTATGGTCTTATTTATTTTATTTTTCTAAGTTTAGTTTTTATGATTTCTCTGAGGATCTAAAGAGTAAGGAATTGTGAAAGCGTGGACCTCCAAATGGGAAGGAGATGGTGTACTGTGAACCACGTGGGGGAGGGGTGGTGCTGAAGAGCCGGAAGTTCTTTACAGGTTCTTGTTCATCCGGAAGAAGAGGTGAGCTGAGAGGCCCATCAGTGAGAAAGTGGCCATTAGTCCACCCTTTCTCCTCTTTCTCTTGTGCAGCTCTTAGAACAAGCCCTGGTGATCGAGGAGCAGCTTCGAAGGGCCGCTTACCTGAACATGTCAGAGGACCCCTCTCACCCGTCTATGGCCCTAAACACTCGTTTTGCTGAGGTGGAGTGTTTGGCAGAAAGTCACCAGCACCTGTCCAAGGAGTCCATGGCAGGAAATAAGCCAGCCAATGCAGTCTTACACAAAGGTCGCCAGTGGCTCCCCTGCCTCCTGCTCCTTCAGCCTCCCTCTCCACTCTCCCCTCCCCGACATCCCTAACTTCCTGCTGAGGATCTTGACTTTGGAGGCAATCAAGGACAGCACTTTTCTCTTTGAACTCTTAGTATATGCAAGTTCTTGAGAATAATAGTGTCATTGGGAATATTTTAGAGGTGACTTCAGGAGATTTTAGATCTCTTCAAATTCTAGACCCCTTTCAACATTGTATTTCTAATTAAAACATTGTGAGGGGGTGGAGGGTGAAATGAGGAAAAGGTGGGTGTCGTAAAGGTAGTGGGAGACATCCAGGAAGTGGAAAGGCATGCATGCAGAAGAGGAGATCATAGGATTCAGTTTGTCAAGTGGAGGAGCTCAGCCCCTTGGTTTGACCCCTGATGCTGAGAATAAAAACTGCAAGAAATAATAATAAAGCCCTGTGTTGGCATTTGCCTGTGATCTCAGCCCAGGGAGGTGGAGGCAGGAGGATCAGGAAATCATGGTCATGCTTGGCTACAGTGAGTTTGAGGCCAACCTTTTAAAAAAAAAAAAAATGGAGACAATAGAAGGGACAGTGAGCTAAAGGGTCTGGTAGCTCTAAAACCGGAACCCGCCAACTGTGGTGGCTTATGCCTGCAATCCCAGGTACTTGGGAGACAAGGCAGGAGTGTCACCTGAGCTCAAATGTTCCAGGCCTAGCCTGGGCAACATGTGAAACAAAAGCCAATTGGGACTAGAATGTGAGGAATCGGAGTCTGGGCCAGGCCAGCAGCATATCCTGGTATATGCTGGTGGGGCAGCTAGTCCTCTAGGTTGGCACTGTGCCCTTGACTACCACAGCTCACGACATCTTTTTTTTTCCCCCTGCAGTCCTGAAACAGCTGGAGGAACTATTGAGTGACATGAAAGCTGATGTGACTCGACTCCCAGCTACTATTGCCCGCATCCCCCCGGTTGCTGTGAGGTTACAGATGTCAGAGCGGAACATTCTCAGCCGCCTGGCAAACAGGGCACCAGAACCTCCCCCACAGCAGGTAGGACCACGGTTTTAGTTGTAGCTCTTCCCACAAAGCCACTGCAGTTTGTGCTCGCTTGTGTCCTACTGGTTGCCTCCCGTGGCATCGGGTGCCTGGGCTCCTGTTGTGACTCTTGCCTGTTTTCCCTCTAGGTAGCCCAGCAGCAGTGAAGACCCAGTGATTCTATCACCTCCACCACAGAGCAGTGACCTTCCTCACTTTCTCTTGTCCCGGCTGCCCCCTGGGGGCTGGAGAGATCTGGCCTTCCTTCTGCCCATCGTCTGAGTTGTAAAGGAACAGCCCTATGCACTAGGGGCAGGGAGGGAGTGCAGGCAATGGCGCCCTTCCTGCTGGAGAGGCAGCAGCAGTAGCACGGGGCGGGCGCCGTGTGCAAGGAGCTGCGGGCTGGCTGCCTTCTGGACCCTGGCTTCTCCCCACCCAGCGAGCGCCTGTTACAAACTGTTGTGGGTTCTGCCAGGCTTGAAGAAAATGATCTGAATTTCTTCCTCTTTTTGGTTTTATTTTGTTGGTTTACTTTGTGTTTTCTCCTTTGGGGGTATTCAGAGTGGGCCGGGCCCCTGGGCGAGACACAGCTACCTCTGTTGGCATCTTTTTCATACCAGGAACCCAGCGGCTCCAGCCACTGAGCGCTTAAATAAAGTTGGAAAAAAAAAAAAGGAAAAGAACCAAAAGCATAAAAAACCACAACAAATTTCTTGATGAGAATTGAAAATAAAAGTTTCCTTGTATTTTAGTGATTTGGTTCGGTGTGGGTGAGTGTGGGTGCCAGGTGGTGCCTGTTGTGGAGACTGAGACTACTGTGCCATCCCTTTGTAGGCTCTGACCTGGAGCAAGTTATTCCCACAGTGTCCTGAATGAAATATTTAATTACCTGCTTGGTAGTTGTATGCAAGCATGCTACACGGGAACATCATATATACATGTACACACATCTGCATATAATTTTTTTCTGCACCCTTCTGACAGGCTGGCATCGAACTATACTGCCTGCCTCTGCCTCTTGAGTGTGGGAATTAAGGATGTGTCCTACCATGCCCTTTTTAGTTACTTTTCCTAGTCTTTTTGTTTTTTCAAGACTGGGTTTCTTTGTGTAGTCCTGGGTCCTTGAACTCCAGGCTGCTCTCAAACTCTGTTTCCAGAGAGCTGGGATTAAAGGAGTGCACACCACCACAGCAGCTTACAGTTTACACCCGGCTTGTGATTTATATTTTGTATTACACATATTGAGGGGAGGAGTACTGTACACGCGGAGGTCAAAGGACGACTTGCAGGAGTTGGTTCCCGCCGCTCACAATATGCGTGTATCATCTCGTAACCAACTCGGGCTGTCAGGTTGACAGCAAGCACATTCATTCGCTGAGCCACGTCCCAAGTCTGGGAAGTTCCCAGCTCTAGTAGAGCACTGAAGGAAGGCCGAGTACGTATTTCTGGCGATGCGATGTGTAGAGAGATGTGTAGAGGAGAGGAAGATTGGCTTCCATAAGGAAAGCGGCTCTATTTAAAAATTGGGGAACAGGAGGGCGGAGACGTGGAACCTCGGGATCCTGAGATCTAAGGCAATTCGCAGATTGCCAGGGCGAAGGCCGTGCTGCGGTTCTAGGTAGGAGCCCGGCGGCCTCGGGAGGCCTAAGCTGGACCCCGCGGAGAGAAGCCGACGCTCGGCGGCAGGGCAGAGTGAGCAGGAGCCCGCCGCTGCACGCCTCCCTCCCTCCACAGCCGGAGCCGGCGACGCGCGTGTTCCCGGACTGGGTCCGTTCCGGTGCCGCGGCCGGAAGAGGCGGGGCGCCCTGCGCGTGCGCGGTACACTTTGGCGGTGTGCTGCCTGGGAGCTCGTCCCCGAGTGCACGTGGAGCGGGCCTTGGCTGCAGGCTCTGCATCTGGAGGAGCCGGGTCTAGCCAAGCGGAGGCTTCAGGTGCGTCTGCAGGATCCCGGAACAGGGTTCCGACCTGGGTCTGGTGGGAGTGCCTTGAGAGGGCCCGTCAGGGTCGCGAGCACAGGTTCTGGGCCGGGAGGTACCCCCTTCGCAGCTAAAGTCGCCAAGTCTACGGCCTGCCTTCCCTTTCCAGCACCGTAACGCCGCCGCCTCCCGTTTCTCTTTGCTTTAGTACCATGGGGCGTAAGTTGGACCCTACGAAGAAAGAGAAGCGTGGGCCCGGCCGAAAGGCCCGAAAACAGAAGGGTGCAGAGACCGAACTGGTCAGATTCTTGCCTGCAGGTGAGGGTCGTAGCGCCCAGACCCCGCCCAGCCTTTGGTCCATTTTGTGTCATAACCTCTTCCCGTTTGCGCGTCCGCCTTCACCTGCTGCGTAGATGTGGGTTGCTAGGACATAAGTCATCCGTGTTGGAAGGTAGGGTAGATGCACGGGTACCCGGGTGAGCGAAGAGAGGTGTCGTTCTCCGTTTCCAGAAAGGGAGCTCTCATGAAGAACTTAGAAAGGTTTTGTAGAGCCTGGTTTTAGCAAGCAAGAGTTGGGAACGGGACAGGCCTGTCATGAATTGTCTGGAAGAAGGGATGGAAGCGTGGGTCTGAGTCCTGTGTGGTGGAGCACTCCTGGGGAGAAAAGACTGCCCATGGAGTTGGTGGTCGGTTGTGCATGGAAGGTGCGGTTACTGAAGTAGTGGCCAGTCCCAGGCCCGTGAAAGACATCCTCAGCCCTGTGGACGCATGGCATTGCTTCATCCAATTTTAGAGTCCTGGAGAGAAGCTTTGTTCAGAAACGGATGCTGAGGAGTCGGGTGTCTTGCACACAGTTATTAAGTGGAAAGGGCTGTGGTTTTTTTGTAGAATATAAAAAAAAATAACAATTTCAAAGTTAAACTCTACTGTAGTGGATAACTGAATAAGCTGAGAATAAAGGAAAGGGCAGAAAAGGTTCTGAGGTTCTGCTGTTATCAGAGTGTCCCTATTTGGACCTGGTTGCTGAGCAGTCAGATAGATGACGGCTTCATCGCCTCTACATCTCCTCTCCCCCCCCTTTATTGGAGGTGCTGGGAATGGAACCCAGGGCTTTTCCAGTTCTTGGCTCAGGCTGAACCATCATCCCGCCCTGCATCTGCCTTAACTCCTGGGAAAGTGTTATAAAGTGACACACCTCGACTGTACTTTGTAACTTTTTCTTTTTGGTTTTTTTCGAGACAGGGTTTCTCTGTAGCTTTGCGCCTGTCCTGGATCTCGCTCTGTAGACCAGGCTGGCCTCGAACTCACAGAGATCCGCCTGGCTCTGCCTCCCAAGTGCTGGGATTAAAGGCGTGCCCGACACTGCCTGGCATGCTTTGTAACCTTATGTCTTTCTTTCCTGATGCTGTGGATGAACCCAGGGGCTTGCACATGCCAAGCACACACTACCATTGAGCCATATCACTAATTCTCTGTCACACTTTAGTGTAGGAACTCTCTTCCTAATTACATCCTGCTCTTGTTTTGTGTGTCTCCTATCAACTCCTACTCTGCTCCTTTTTAAAACAGCTGGTGATGAGAATTTCAAGAGGCTGTCCAGTCGTGCTCGGAAGAGGTGAGTGTGTTTGCCTGGGCTTAGCAAATGTTGGAGCTGCTTGATACATGGATGAAGAGGGTTAGTTGGACTTTTCCTCATGGTGGAAGGTGGCAGAACCTAGAAGCATGTCCCCATGTCTTCATTTTCTGCATCTTTTTCAGGGCAGCCAAGAGGAGGTCCAGGTCTGTTGACATCCCTAAGCCAAATAAGTCTCCTGGGATTAAAACATTGCCCGGAGAGCTGTCACAAGGTGAGTGAAAATAGGAGTTGGTTGCTGTGTGAGGCATCTTCTGGTCCTGGATAGGGCTAAGCATTTCTAGAATGGAAGGAAAAACAAAAGGCCTTTTTTTAAGATCTATTTTTGTTTGAGACAGGATCTTAATGTATAGCCTTGGCTGTTCTTGGACTCACTCTGTAGACCAGACTGTCCTGGAACTCACAAAGATCCCCTGTCTCTGCCTCCCAAGTGCTGGAATTAAAGGTGTGTGTTGCCATGCCCAGTTAAGAAGTTTTTTTTGAGACAGGGTTTCTCTGTGTAGTATTGGTTGTCCTGGAACTCACTCTGTAGACCAGGCTGTCCTCAAACTCGCAGAGATCCACCTGCCTCTGCCTCCCTAGTGCTGGGACTAAAGATGTGTGCACCACCACCACCCAGCTTAAGATTATTTTTTTATCTTACTTAATTTTTAAAAACTTTGTCTCGATTTATCTTATGTGCCCGAGTGTTTTGCCTGCATGTATGGATGTGTATCACATGTGTGCCTGGTGCCCATGGACGCCAGAAGAAGGTGTAACTAGGGTTGTGGATAGTTGTGAATCACCATAAGAGTGCTGGGAACCAAACCTGGGTCCTTTGTAAGAGTATCAACTGCTCTTAACCACTGAGTCATCTCTCCAGCCCTATTTTTTTATTTCTTAATTATGTGTGTGTATGTGTGAGAGTATGGGTGTATGCTGAATCAACCTGGAGATGGAGATACAGGTAGTTGTGAATTGTCAGGTGTGGGTTCTGGGAACTGAGCTCGGGTCCACTGCAAGGTGAGTGTGTGCTCTCAACTGTGAAGTCATTTCTCAGTGCAGGCTCCAGAGGTGTGGGACAGGGAACGTGATGGCCATTTGTTCAGGATTGGTCAAACCCTTACTGTTTCAGGAGCAGTCCAGGCTCGAGGTAAGAAGCGCCCAGCACCAACTCCTAACAGTGACGGGGATGAGGAGGAAGACTCTGAGGAAGGTGGTCTGGCAAACCAGGGGGACCTCTGGGGCTCCGAGGACAGTGATGCTGATATGGTAGATGACTATGGAGCCGACTCTGAGCTGGACGATGAGGAGGAGGAGGAGGAGGAGGAGGAAAAGGTGAGATTCACTTCTGTGTGTTCTTGGGTAGATCTTTTTGTTAGTTTGAGACAGGGTCTTACTGTGTAGGGCACGCTAGCTCCTTAACTCAGAGATCTGCCTGCCTCTGCTTCCTGAGTGCTGGGATTAAAGACGTGGGCCACCACACAGTTTGATGGTTGTTTAGAGACAAGGTTCTAGGGTGTAGCCTGAACTCTCACCACAGAGCCCAAGCTGGCCTCAAATCTACATCTGTCCTATGTGGCCCCTCAGTGCTGGGATTACAGGCGTATGTCACTGTGCCTGACTTTAGAGACTCTTAGCCTTTCAGTCCCCAGGCTGGCTTAGAATGTGTAGTCCTCCTGCCTCGGCCTCTCACGTGCTGGCATCTCAGGCCTGTGCCACCACGTTTAGCTTGCTTTTTAGCTTCTTTCCAGTTCGTCCAGGCTCCCGTAGAGTGGATCAAAGGCTCTGGTTCTCTGTGCTTTCTGTCAGCACTCACAAGTTTGAAAGCACAGCACTGCCAGCTTCGCACAGGGTGTCTCTGTGTGGCCCTGGAACTTGCTCTGTAGACCAGGCTGGCCTCGAACTCAGATGCACCACCATTGCCTGGCCTTCCAATCCCCCCCCCCCTTTTTTTTTTTTTAGTAAAGCAGTTGTTGCAGGGCTGAAGTAGTAGAGCATTCACCTGATAGGTGAGGCCTTGATAGTGGAACTGAGCACTGACAGAAGTTTCTGTCCAGGTGGGACAAGCCACATGCCCAGGGGTTCAAGAGCAGCCTGGACAGTATAGTAAGACTCTGCCAAAGAAAAAGATTTTCTTTTTATCTAGCTTATTGTTAGGGAGGTGGTATATAATGTGGGTAAAGGTTTATTTACTGGAGTGCCAGTGATTATAGGACTAGG